ATCTAATTCTTCCAGTAATTTACTTAGATTTTTTTGTTCATGCACAAATTTAAGATAGAATAGTTTTTGGACAACTTGTTCTAATAGATGTTGTCACATTAAATGTCAAGATACACCCGTTGATGACAATTATAATAGATATTGAAGAATCACAATCATATTCAACATTTCAAATAAATATATTTGTAGCATTAATACCGATAATATTCAGCGTAAGGTTATCGCCGGTAAACACTGACGGTACATCTGCAATCTCTACCTTGAATCGATTTAACTTTTAATATATCATTCGATGGTATATTCGCTCATTTATTTCAATACTACCACTATCAGTACGATCCAGTATTGAACTAATCACAATACCCGTTGCTTTAACATATCCGTGATACATAAATAAAACGGTTTTGATATTGATCTCTCAGCTTATAGTTCTTTATCAATTAATTCTAGTAATATCGAATCACACGTATCATTCCCAATGGTAATCGATGGTTTTTATGGTACCATTCTATTAGTAATTGTTTATTTGCTTTCTTAATCAAATTTTGTGTTACTGAATTTGTAATCACTGAGTTTGTCCTAACACAAATTCGTTTGACTAACACAGTTGATCATATTTAGAATAAAATCTAAGAAAAAACAATCTCATATTAGTGAGATGAATAATTTATGATAAATATATACCTTTGTACTCTAGTACACTCATGCTTTTTGTTTGTGTTCTTAATTGTGTTGAACATTATTTATCGTCACGTTTTATTTCGTCTTCCGATTCATCTAACACAAACGAAAAACGTTTGTTCTTCTTGCTATCACTCATGTATTATTCGTTCTTCAGTTCCCTTTGATTAGCTAATAAATAGTCCATCAATATTGATTTATCAGTATAACAACCAAAATAACCAATTTTTTCCCTAGATAATAAAATACTAGAAAGTAGTCTCTCTCTCTCTGAACATTTACTATATAACTTTATTTTTGAACATCTGTCTATAAGCAACTTTTTCTCTAAACAATCAGTTCGGTTTTCGTCCAAAATGTTCTACATTTGACGCTCTCGTTTATCTGTCTCTTACTGTTTCTTCTTATCTAAATTCTGATGTTAAATATGTCGGTGTTTCTTTTGACTTTTTTCCTTGTGATCCTCAGGCTTTTTCTCACGTTCAAAACTGTATCAATTCTGTTTCTAACTGGTCTTCTTCTATGTTGATGTCTTTGGATGTTTCAAAATATTGCCGACTTCCTTTCTCATTCAATCTTTTCCCTCTTATTTTCAATCAGCTCTACTTAAATTTTCTCTATCCATGATCCTCTGAATCATTTTGCTGCTCGCATTATTCTTCAAAATTTTAACTACTGTGTCCGTGATTCTGATTTAGCTCTTCAACTTTCTCTACTAAATTTTTTTGTATTCATCAGTATTTTGCATAGAGAAATTTTCCTAGAAGACCTGACTGACAAATTTCCAAAAACATTTGCGAAAATGCAGAATTTTCCGGTGAGTCTTCTGATATTTTCAAAATTCTTATGGAATCTATTTTTGGATCAAATCAAATATTTTCTATTTTCAGTATCTCACAGTTCGACAACTCAGACCATTCAATATTTTGATTAACGAGAAAAATGCTATCTGAGATTCAAATAGTAGGTTTTGTAGAGAATTCCATTCTCAATCGGCTGAACCTAAAACATACTCTTTGGACTACTGGGCTCACCCTCAGAAACAACGAACAACAGTAACCCGTTATATAAGAAATTGAACAGTTTCCTATTCAATCTATTATAACTTACACTAGCAATCTTATTCTGTGATTGTGCTTTTATATGAATGCCCGGAACTTACTACAAACAACAAAGAAGTTTTTTAGTATAGAGCATAACAGAATACCATGTAGAATTGAGAAAAATTGAGTTGAAAAGAAATCAAATAATTCTCTTATTGTTTTATTAAAAAAAACCTTTAAATCCCATATGAGATTCCATCCGAACAGTATTAAAAAAAAATAAACGGGAAAAAAAGAAAGGTGTAGTTGACTTGGAGCGTTCATTACATAACACTTGTGTATCAAATTGCGTTAGCGGTATATTCATACTTAAAGAAAACAAAGATAATAAACAACAAAAAAACAAACGAAATCGAACAATAAATTAATTAACTATTTGATCACGAACGTAGCGCAAAAATTCAACATAGGACATTGTTGATTCTGATTTATCATCTACTAAATGACGCGTAAATAAATGACGATTTGGACTGTCCTCTCTAGAAATACAAATGGTAACAAAACATATTAGTTCATATGATCAGTAAGATTCCGTATAAAACAATCACCTACCTTAAAATGTGTATTGCAACACCATGTGGTCTACTTTGTGTTAGATATGACAGAAAATTGTGAATTTTAATTGATAAAGAATTCTCTAATTCGGGCAATGAATACTAGAAAAGATAAAATAAAGAGACATCTAAGACGAAATAGAGACGTGTTTAACATACTAAATCTGTTCGCAAAGCAGAAAATGTTTGAACATTAAATACATTTTGAACAAAATGATCGCTAATTGCTTTTCCAATATAAATATAAATATATTCACAAGCATCCATAACATATGCACCATGAGAATCAATATGTTGAAATGATAAATGAACACGTTGAGGTATATGCAATTCATCTTCTCCATCTTGAATTACTTGACTCTGTATATAAAAAGGGAAATTGTTAATAAACAATTGTTAAATAAATAATAAATCAGCTTTTTACCTTGTCTTCAATTGTATGAATAGGATATAAATCTGGATAAAATATTTGCATCAAATATTCTGTTGGTAATGTTTTACATAAACCGAGAAAATAAGCACGGTCATCCCAACGTGAACCACCGCCAGCACGAAAACCAATCTGGAAAACAGAAAACAAAGAATGATTACAGCAGCTCCAAGCAGCGCTAAAAGTTTGAAACTTCGCAATGAGTAACTTAACCCTGATCCGACCACATATAATATGCCCAAATTCTACCGGTTTCATTTGGATACTGCCTGAACACAACGGTTAGATTTTACCGCTTCACTTTATATTCCACTGAATGAGAATAGGGTGTACTATCAATATGAACTGATTACATCCACTCATTATTTATCTGGCAGAGCAGCAAGACATATCTGCAAAGCAGTCATTTTCGTCTGGGGATCGCACGGACCCCAGGTGGACGAATCAGGGTTAACGGCATCCTCCCGTTTTCATTTCTTCTCTCGTCACAAAATCGTAGCGACGATTAATAAGAGTTAGAACTTTTACCAGAGTATCCTCTATAAAACTAAGACAAGCATAATTGTTGCTCAGACCTTAAAATTCACTTTTAGGTATGATTTCCTAGTGTAATAAAGTTTTTATTAGGTACCGGCCCCGTATTTTCTTATAGATCTGAGCGTTACGTCTTTGAGAGCTAAATCGAAAAGCATCTGGAGCCTAGTATCTGCGCTAAAATTTTGAACTCGAACGGACAAAGTCTGGATAGAGTTGGTATCAATGAAAAACCTGGTTTTCTAGGAAATCACTCACCTAAGAGTGAGTTTTAAGGTCTGAGCAAAAAATATGCCTGTTTTATTTTTTAGAGAAGATACTCTAGTAAGAATTCTAACTTTCATTCAACAATCGCTACGATTTTGTGACAAAAGAAATGAAACGGGAAGGTACCTTTAGAATATCTATATAAACGCTTTTAGTTTCTGTCCGTGGAGTATAGATAATTTTATTCTTTCTATTAGTTTCATCACAAAACATGCCAAATAATACACACCGATTTCATCATGCTCAGCATATACAATGGTAATAGACGCAATGATGATGGAACAAATAAAGTAAATGCACGATTTGGCGTGTGAGTTGTAGACGCTTTTAAAATATCAACGGCAACATTACACATTGCTTCACGAGCTTCTTTCAGCGAAGACTGAGATGAACGATCGGTTGCTTCAAATAAAATAATAAGAACAATAAATAATTGTAAAAAATCAGCGAAAAGATATTTTCCTCACCCATTTTAGACACGAGCGAAACAATTGCTTCTTGATCAGCATTTGCAAATATTTCCGGTAATGTTG